ATGCTGTTGAGCCAACAGACCGACACAGTGTTTGTCCTAACCATCTTTCTAGATTTTACGGCACATAAGAAAGATTCCTTTCAAAACCAAGGAAGGAGGAAGGAGATGAGGTTTACTTTAATGAGAATGGAGACCCAGCAGCAAAGTATGAAATTATAAACTGGCAGCCAACAGAAAATGGCATTGTGGACTTTGTCACAGTTGGTCTTTATGATGCATCTTTACCTGCAGACAAACAACTGAGTCTGCAACTTCAGTCTATTATTTGGGCACAGAACTCAAAACAGGTAAATGATTATGTCATCACCATTGTTATTATATACAGTATAATTACTCTAAATGTAGTATTGTTACAGTATCATAATGTTTGGTTTCAATGCATCACAATTAACAACAAACATTTGCAAAAATAAAACCTCACCAAACTCAGGGCCCATACTTTTTCTCAATCATTTCGTTCATGCAGGTGCCTGTGTCAGTTTGCAATGAGAAATGTCCCCCAGGAACTCGCAAGGTTCTCCAGAAAGGAAAACCTGTCTGTTGCTATGACTGTATCAGATGTGCAGAGGGAGAAATAAGCAACATTATTAAAATTCAAAGTTTTGCACTTCCGTGTGCCACAAAACAAGTTTCTTATTGCAGTCACGTTTACATGCCAGTTTTAAGAAATTTGAGCCTGTGTGCATGTCAAGGTTAAAGCCCATGTTTGAAAACAATTATGTTCTCACAATATTCCATTTGCACTGTTTATCAAAAATAACCAAATCCATGGGATTTTGAAGCAGTCTGTGTTGTCTTCATCTATTTTATGTTCAGACCATCCTGGGTCACATCCATTTGAGGTTCAGACTATTATTTATCTATATGAGTCGCAGTGTCAAAAATTACTAACTGAAAAATTATGTTTTTTAAACTATTATTAAAAAACACGCCATTAAAAATAAGAACAAAACTGAACATATCCACATTATTAATAATTATATCATGTAGCTGTCACAAGGGTATCCATTTATTAACTCATGTAGTATCTGTTGTTTGCACAGAAAAGAAGAAAAATCAAAACCCAAGTTAGATCTATTGAGCAACTGACATCTGCTTTTATATAACATTTCAGATTCTGCATCTTGTGAGCGATGCCACCTTGAGTCCTGGTCCAATAACAGAAGAGATGCCTGTATAAAGAAGGAGGCAGAGTTTCTATCATATGAAGAAATTATGGGAGTACTGCTCACTGCAGTGGCCTTGTTTGGAACATGCATGACTGCTGTTGTGGCAGCCATTTTCTTCACATACAGGACAACTCCTATTGTCAGGGCCAACAACTCGGAGCTGAGCTTCCTGCTGCTCTTCTCCTTGACTCTGTGCTTCATGTGTTCTCTGACCTTCATCGGCCGCCCCTCTGAGTGGTCCTGCATGCTGCGACACACAGCATTCGGCATCACCTTTGTCCTCTGTATCTCTTGTGTTCTGGGGAAAACTATAGTGGTGTTAATGGCCTTCAGGGCTACACTTCCAGGCAGTAATGTGATGAAATGGTTTGGGCCTGCACAGCAGAGACTCAGTGTTGTGGCTTTCACTCTTATCCAGGTTGTTATATGTATCCTCTGGTTAACTATTTCTCCTCCTTTTCCATTTAAGAATTTTACCCAGTTCAAGGACAAAATCATCTTAGAGTGTGCTCTGGGATCAGCTGTAGGCTTTTGGGCTGTACTTGGGTACATAGGCCTTCTGGCCATCTTATGTTTTATTCTGGCTTTTCTTGCTCGGAAACTGCCTGATAACTTCAATGAGGCCAAACTGATCACCTTCAGCATGCTGATATTCTGTGCAGTCTGGATGACTTTTATTCCAGCATATGTCAGCTCTCCTGGGAAGTTCAGTGTTGCTGTAGAGATATTTGCTATTCTGGCCTCCAGTTTTGGACTGCTCATTTGTACTTTTATTCCAAAATGTTATATTATCTTACTGAAACCAGAGAAGAATACAAAAAAGAATATGATGGAGAAAGGGACATCAAAACAATTCTGAAAATGTACAAAATATTGTGGCTAAGGTATTCTAGTATCATTATAATTTTTACATATTAATTGGTTAACCAGGATCATGTAGAAACCAATATTCATTTTATTGATGCTTGATGTTTATTATATCTCACTAACATTTTTTCATGTACAGTATGTTATTTCACTGGCAAAGAGTGTTGACATATTTAATGTAATGTAATATACAACCAAATCAGCCTGCATTTGTAATTATAAGCTTAATTTTTTAATGACTCCATAACATTTAATATAAGATCAGCTTTTTAATACACAAATATTTGGTTCTGTCTTAGTTTTCTCTGGTCAGACAATTCAAGTATGAAAATGCAAAAAATAATAATTTTTAATGGGTTTATGTGTGTGT